AAGTACCAACAGTACTAAAGTCACCAGTACTGAAAGGAGTGAGGATTCCATTTGCTCAAGAGGCCAAATACTTGGGAGTCATCTTTGAAGGTTATGTCGAAGGTTGTGTGGAAAAAATTGGGGACTACAACCGAAAATGTCCCTATGGTTATATACCAGAGTCATAAGGCCGATGATAACCTATAGGACAGTGGTATGGTGGCCAAAGACTAGGCATGACTAGCCTGAGTATCACGGGAGCTATGAGAACGACCCCAACAGCAGCTATAGAAGTCATGCTAAACCTAACACCATTACATATATTCATTCAAGGCAAAGCCAGGTCGGTCACAAAGGTTCATCACCCATAAGTAGTTTGCATGGACGTGACTACAGCGAGCTATATAAAGAGTTGGAGAACGACCAAATAATGGGAATGCCTTCAGATGAAATGCTCCCAAAGTATAGCTTTCAAAAGCAATATAAAGTGAGTATATCAGACAGGAAAGCGTGGACGGGAGGACCTCCTATTCATGCAGAATTCACCTGGTATACAGACGGCTCCAAAACCCATGAAGGTTCAGGAGTAGGTATATATAGTACCAAGCCAAAGACAAGAATCTCACTGAGCTTAAGACAGAAGGTAAATAGAAAAACCATTGTCATATACTCAGACAGTCAAGAGACAGTTCCATGCAGGTACATTCAAAGCTTGTGTGGGACTGTTTGGAAGCCCTAACAGAGCTGGGTAGTCAAAACAGACTAACCCTAGTCAGGGTACCAGGCCACAGAGGACATAAGGGCAATGAAGAGGCTGATTTACTAGCCTCAAATGCTCTTATTGGCCCAGAACCCTTCTGTGGTGTAACAAAAACAACTATCAGAATATGCACAAAGCAGTGGATGTTTAAAAAATCTCAGGAGTGTTGGAAAAACTCTCCAGTGCAGAGACAGGCCAAAGAGTTCTTAAAAGGATCATCGCCCAAACTTACCGAGCATCTACTAAGCCTTAATAGGAAAAATACTAGAGTGCTAGTAGGTCTATTAACAGGGCATTGTAGGCTTAACAAACATATGTATAATATCGGTCTAACAGAAGATACCTTGTGCCGATTCTGTCAGGAAGAGGAGGAAAAGGCAGTACACGTATTGTGCTACTGCGAAGGTCTAGCAAGACTGAGATTCCTTACACTTGGATAAGAAAAACCAAGGGCAACTAGCTATACCGGAGAACTACTTCCCAGTCTATGGAGTCTACTACAAAAGACCGAATTAGACAAGGTACTCTAAATACCGATTAAAGGATATCCACAATAGATCTGAAAAGGTCGAGGTGGGGAAGGCCACATGGCTCACAGTCCTAATTAAATCTAATCTAAATCTAATCTACTCTTCACACAGTAGTCTATCAAGAGTATTATGCGTTTGGATCCGTCCGTCCGTCCGATGTCACTTTTTTTATCCGCACGATAAGTCAAAAACGAAAAAGGATATCAATTTGAAAATTTCAGGACCATCAAGCTCTAAAGGGGACGAAGCTTATTGATAAAAAAAAATCTAAATAAAAATGGAGTGTTAAGGGGAGTTGAAATATTAAAAAAAAAATCATAAGTTAAAAACGAAATATGAAATAATAAAATCAAAAACGAAAAGCGATATCAACATGATTAAAATGAGGGATTGAGAGAGGTTGAAATATTATAAAATTTTAATTCAAAAACGAAAAAAGATATCAACTTGTAATTTTTTGCAAAAATCAATCTCTATAAGGGGACAAAGCCTATTGATTTGGAATAAAATCAGATTAAAAATGGGTGGGTGAAGAGGGGTAGAAATTAAAAAAATCGTAAATCAAAAACGAAAAACGATATGAACATGAAATTTTTAGTAAAAATCAAGCTCTATGAAAAAATGAAGCCTATTTATTCTGAATTTTTTTTAATAACAATGGGGCGATAAAGGGAATTGAAATGTTTGAAAAAATTCTAACCCAAAAACAGAAAACGATATCAAATTGAACTCTTCAGGAAAAACCAAGCTTATTGATTCTGAAAAAAATTGATTGAAAATGGGGATCAAGAAGCGGTCTGTTAAAATGTGAAGAGTATAATATAGAATACCATGCATTGTATATATTCATTCTAGTTTATAATGTAACGTATCCAAATAAATTTTATTCTCTTCGATTTTATTCTATTGATGGTCACCACAAAAGTATAATGTTTAACCCCAGTATAACTAGGTTTAACCCTTTAATGGACAAAACTCAACATTTTTTTAAATTGGTGGTACATAAAATTTATTATGGTACGCATATGTACCACCCAAGGAAAATGCTAAAAAATTCACAAATTATAAATGTACCATACAATTACAAAAACAGCTTAGGTAATACAGAAGCAGGTGTATTAGAAAAAGACGATATCCTACCTATTTGTGTAACTCTCTTTTCTTTATTGCATGTGTAAAATCAATCAAAAGATCTATGCTTTTTCTGATACAAATTAATATTTGACAGTTGTACTATTTAACCGAGTAAAAATGTGGCTTTCTATATTACCGACTGAGTACTAGTTGCACAAAACTATCCCACATGTCGCTGAAGGCAAACATGTTGCCACATTTCTGTGTGGAATCTGCAACTCTTAATAATTATCCTTCCTCCATGCTCTACACCTCCGAGCAACTCTACACTCTATAGTCTATGTAATTGATTTTGGTTGTTGTCAAAAAAAATATTTATGAAATACTAACCGATTTCTTAACACAAATTATAATTTTTGCCAGGTACTACGCAAAAATAAATTTGGTAAACGTTACTGATAATGAAATGAGGAACTAGTAAACACAGACCTTCGGGTCGTAACACGTGACACTAACCAATTTAAATATTACAAGGACTCAGAGAGATGTATGTAATTTATTTCATAATAAATATCTCAACCGATAACCAATTTTACAATCCACGGCTACCAAAATTGAACGGAAATTCAGAGGAACAGATCGTGTAAAAGACCTCCCTAAATGTAGTAAAAACCAATATATTTTTTTTAGAATAAATAGATATTATTTATTAAATACAGGCAAATTTATATCAAGTGCTAAATTGATGTCCTTCAACTAAAATGCAATGAGAAAGACGAGCATTGAACTCTTCTAGAACTTTCTCTATAACTGCAACCTCAAGGGGTATCCGTTCTTTGAGTTCATTAATATTTTGTGGTCTATTTTGGTATACTTTACTTTTCAAGTATTCCCATAGAGGAGTTAAATCTGATAACTTAGGTATGTATTCTATTGGTCCTCTTCCGCCTATATCCACCGATTTGGGAAGATGTCCAAGTAGATTCTCACCAAGACCGCTTAGTGTAAACGAGCATCATCTTGATGCAGCCACAAATCATTTATGTTTGGGAACAATCGGTTCAATTCGGGAATCAAGAAGTTTTGTAAATTTCTAAAGTTCGAGGACCTGTTAAGGTTTTTTCGTCCTATGTCCTTTAATCTTATAATCTATTATTCCTGAGACCTTAGATCCACTTTCTTTGGGTATTGAATATGGTACTTCTGCATCCAGTGTTCGTAGTCCAACAAGTCCTACAAGTATGACCGCTTAGGAGAAATTTAGATTTATCAGAAAAAAATAACTTTTTTAAACACCTATTAAGTCTGTTATTTTTTCTATTGTAACTTCTCAAAATTCAACTATATCAAAATCTTCTTCCAAAAGTTCATGTACTAAACGTACTGTATTGTAGGAATTGTACTTTTCCTTTTTTGCATTTTAAGAATTGCATGGTCCAGCAAAGGAAACTTGTATTTCATGCAAAAATGCAAGTTTTCTTTGCTGATCTAAGCTACGTGCTCACAGCCGTTGACCTCTTTTGGTTTCTTTAAGTTTTAAGAACTGCTAAATGGAATAAGTCATTATCTAATATCTGAAGTGGTATGGGGGTTTTTTACAAACTTTACCAGGTAGTACATTTTAGGTGTAAGATACGCAAAGGATCGTTGAGTAATTAATTGACTTAAATAGGGAAGTTTACTCACTTGGGAAAGTGTTGGGATATTTATTATTAAATAAATTAATTCATCTTTCTGAGACCTTGTTCTATCTCCAAAGCCAGTCATTAGAATTTCAGTTCTTTTCGTTGTATTCAACTTATTGTTGATAAATAACTACAAAGATTTATTAGATACTTCTACTATTATTGTCATTACGGAACTTCACCTACTTCGATAAACAATTTAAGCTGTTAAAAACTATTTTTTACGCGACTGTCATAACAAAATGACATTTTACGGATTTATTAACATCCCCAAAGTGTCACTTTTTTGGCCGCATTTCCTTTTCGGTCTTTTTGGCCGCACTTATTTTACGGCCGCTTTTTAAATACAGGTAGGTTTATCATACTTATTATTGTTAGTAATGTTGTACAAATTTTATTAGTTAACGATAGATTTGTATTCGATCAATTAAAATTTGAAACAATTCTTGCATTTAAAAGTAATTTTTCATCGTATACCTTTTTTGGGGCTTTTCCCTTGTCTTTTGATCCACAAATTGCTGCTGCATTTGCATTTTTGAGCGACGAGTTGATTTCGACCAAGATTATAGATAATGATTTCGGAAATTTAGAGAAAATATATAGTGATTTTGAGGGAAAACGCACCAGTGTTTTGGGAGTGCTTGACCCCTCCCAATAAGCTTCATACTTCCATGGGATAAACGGACTAACGTAATCACATCGCAGTTAATGTGTTAATAATTAATTCTGGGAATGTATAAGATGTTGCCTACCACCTAGAAATTAATAATGCACTTTTCATAAATAAAAAATATTGTATTAGAGTCTCCCCCTTTAATATATGCAATTATCGATTAAAATCTATAATTTTGTTATAAAATTGACAGTGTCTGATTTTTATAATATGCTTGAATTTTTGAAATTAAAAATTGACATAGTACTCTCGAAAAAATGCTTAGACTTATGACTTTTGTCGTTGTCAATATTATTTAACGTTGGTAATCCTGATTTTCGCCATTATCGCATGATTAAATAATAAAATCCCATGCCGGGATTGTAATTTCAACTATATTAAAAAATTATTAAAGGATTTATCATTTTTTGAGTATTAACATGACCTCGATAATTGTAGCACGAACTTTAGCACCAGGTAATTGCATATTTGTTTTAAATTCAATTCTCAGTCTTAACATCACCTTTATTTTAGTGATACACCATTCTCTTAAACAACTTTTTACAAAAGGAACTGTTGCCAGAGTAAGAAACTATTCTAAATGTATACAAATAGCTGCTATAAATTCTACCCAAAAGAGGTTATATTCCGAAAAAAAGGTATTTGAAAGAAACAAGCCCCATTGCAATGTAGGAACAATAGGCCATGTTGATCATGGAAAAACTACACTCACAGCAGCAATTACTAAAGTACTGTCTGAACAAAAACTGGCTAAAGCAAGACAATATCAAGATATCGACAATGCACCAGAAGAAAAAGCTAGGGGAATTACCATTAATGTAGCTCATATTGAGTACCAAACCGAAAACAGGCATTATGCACATACCGATTGTCCTGGCCATGCAGATTATATTAAAAACATGATTACGGGGACAGCACAGATGGATGGAGCTATTATGGTGGTAGCTGCTACAGATGGTGTAATGCCACAAACCAGGGAACATTTACTCCTAGCTAAACAAATTGGTGTAAATCACATTGTGGTATTCATAAATAAAGTTGATGCTGCAGACAAAGAAATGGTTGAGTTGGTTGAAATGGAAATCAGAGAATTACTGACTGAAATGGGTTTTGATGGTGATCATATTCCAATTATAGGCAAGTATACTTAATATAATTTGAAACATTAATTAAAATTCACAATTTATTAAATTTCACCCACTTGGTTTATATGATGGGCAATTCAACTTGTAACTAGATTTGTTTTAGATTATTTTACTTTATAGTAAGTAAAGCATGTTATTCAACTAAGTAAGGTTTTAAAAATAAATTTACTTAATTTAATGAGTCAAACTACTTATTAAGCACATTTTGCTATCTATAAGTGATAAATAAAATATCGGTAGTCTTGTAGTATTCGACACCTCTGTGTAATTAAGGACCACAACCATGATTTGCAATAGATACCCAAAAGTTGACACCTACGCTAAATCTGTATTTTGTATAAATAGGCACAAAAATAGGTATTTACTGCAGGGATGGAAAAAGCCTTAGAATTCAAAAAAATATAAGTAGGTTTTTTAAGGTTTTGTAGGTTTTTAGTTCATGTCAAACATTATTGTCACTATCATTAATATCAAGAAGAAGTGATTATAACGTTTGATGAAATGTTTGCATTTATTTTTATATACATTTGCTGAACACTAAAATTAATACTAATAACCTTAAAGAAAAAAATATTAATAATTGCTGCCTTTTTATATGCTTAATTATCACTACACTACAACCTATTCAGATGTATGGCCACAAATATAATGCCCACAAATGAATTGACCTGATTTCTAGTGTTACATGAAGCGTGTCTGGTTTTTTGTAAATATAGCGAAATATTATGCAAGAGGGGGAATGTTTAAATATTCATCCTTTACTTGTTTTTGCAGTTTGAATTCAGGTATGTCAACAATTGGAACAGTGTCGATGATTTGTGCATTTACCTTTGTGATAAAAGTTTTGCTTCAAGCAATACTGATAATTTTTTTTAGCAAAAACTTGTAAAAACTCATTTTATTTAAATGAGCCTTTGAGTAGTACAAAATAAAGTGGGAGAGGACTTGCCCCTAATATTTAGCTGGTTTCAAGAAAAGTTATTAACTGTAAATTTTGAAAAAAACTTTTCCTCCCATTTTTTCTGATTTTTTCAGTCTTCCTTGTTTTAAACAAATAATTATTAAAATGGATAATAATAGTACAATAAAGATATCATACACATCTCACATAAAGTATCTGGGAGTATATATAGACCAAAACATTAAGTAGGACGTACATATAAATTACGTCTGAAGAGGCATTAATATTCTATAAAAAAAAATATCCATGCCACGTACAAGCTCGCTTATGTGGTCGTCACATGTTTATTGATACACACTGTATATGAAACTTTTTTTTTATGTAATTAAACATATTATTATTATCATAGTATAAAAGTTTTTGTATTGACTATGATTGAATTACTTATATTACATTTTTACTGATTTATACTTACAGCTGGATCTGCTCTATGTGCTCTAGAAGGCAAGAACCCAGAAATTGGATCAGAAGCTATTCTAAAACTACTAAATGAAGTTGATACTTATATACCTACCCCAGTTAGAGATTTAGACAAGCCATTTTTATTGCCCGTAGAACACACTTATTCTATACCTGGAAGGGGTACAGTCGTTACAGGGAGATTGGAGAGAGGTATTTTAAAGAAAGGGGCTGAATGTGAATTTGTAGGTTTCAGTAAAACAATAAAAAGTACTGTTACTGGAGTCGAAATGTTCCATCAGTTACTTGATGAAGCTCATGCTGGAGACCAAATTGGAGCACTAGTTAGAGGTCTTAAAAGGGATGATGTTAAGAGAGGTAAAATTTTATTTGAATTATTTTTGAGTGTTAAATATAAAGAAACTATTTACCTATTCAGCTGAGATGTCAAAGTTTATTCCTAGCAAAGTAATCTACTTTTCTGCTTATAATATTTTATTTCTTGTTACTAATTATTTGGCTAAGAAATAGTTGTTTTTCAAAAAATAGACTAGTATTTACAATACAATATTTCTAATAGATCTAATATTTTTCAATTACTTCAATCACCTCTGTTTAGGAATGATAATGGCTAAGCCTGGTACAGTGAAAAGCTATGATCATGTAGAATCACAAGTATATGTTCTGAGTAAAGATGAAGGTGGTCGCAGTAAACCATTTACATCATTCATCCAATTGCAAATGTTCTGCAGAACGTGGGACTGCGCTGTCCAAGTTGTAGTACCAGATAAGGAAATGGTTTTACCTGGTGAAGATTCTAAGTAAGCTTTATTATTTATTAATAAGTAGAAAGTGTAGAAAATAATATCAAAATTAAATGAACTAGGTTTTTAGTTAAATAAATTTAAATAAAACGACTATATACATTCAGAAAAACAAGAAAAACATTCACTTGATTGGTTTAGTAACTTTAAATACTTCCAATCGAATTTTTGGTTTTTGTAATGGAAGTCATGTCACAAACTCTTTAATTTTTGAATGCTATTCCTCTTTCTATTTAGGATGAAGTCTTGTTGATGGCCTAACAAGCTGAAAATGCAAGGCCAATATTAAATGACAGGATTAATATCATCCCAGCTTGCACGCTTTAAACACAATTCCTAGATTTATTTCTTCAATCAATTTACCTGTGTATCAAACTTGGTACTTTCCCTAGTTAATTTGTATTGGTTAGAGTGATGGTGGCGATGGGAATGATATACTACGATTTCAAAATAAAGAGTGGAGAAAATTTCAGGAATGTTTAACAGAGTTGTCATATATAAAAAAAAATAATTTTTTTTATCATAAAAATTACGCAAAAAATTGTTACTTAACACTATAATGTATCGTGCTTAAAATTATTTCATTGTCTCAGGGGTATATTACAATACTTAAATTTTAATATGCCTTAATCGAATCTAAAAACATAAAAAACTTAATAATATATACTTAATTTACTTCACAGTTAGGTAACCTGCTAATGGTTGATCGGCTTGTTACATGTTGCTTTGTGTTTTATCTCGCATTTTTTGACATGCAATAAAACGGGCACGTTTGAGTCACACTCCATATAGAAAATGCAACATCAATATTTAATTTGCAGTGGCAATAATACGCACATGTAAGTTCAGTTAGTTAATTGTTTGAATTGTGATTTGTAGCTTCTTGCAAGAAAATTGATAAATAAGTTAAATCGCTGTAAATTATTTTATTTATTGTTTTTTTTTTTTTAATTGTTTAAATGTCATTTAAAATTAATCAGAAGTTACCCAGTTGTAGCAACCCTTCTGCAAAACGGCATCATTTTTCGGACGAAAATTTAAAAAACATATACGATAGTATTCACAAACATTTTTCATATTATACAATAGATGAAGGAGTAAAATTTTGCGGTTTACTGAGCATTAAAGAACCGAATGTCGACAATTAAAAAGCATGATCTAATATAAACAAAGAAAAATAGGGACATAAACAAATGAGCGGGTGTAATATCGGCGGGAATCAGGACAGGTACTTAAACGGGACATGTGTTATAATAACACACTCATATCAAATACAAGTAGAATTATGCTGATGCGGCAAGTCCAAGAAAAGGCCACACCAAGATCTATCGGCAACAAAACTAGTTCGTTACCGGCATTTTCTAGCTTTTATATTGTTCAGACATAAAATAAAGTTCCGCTTTTTGTAAAGTTTTGTAATTAAAAAAAAAAAAAAAACAATTTTTATTAGCGAACCTAAAAATCATGTAAATTCAGCCGGATGTTTAAGGATTCGTTCTTATAAGTAATTTCAGCCGAAAGCAGGTAAAATATAATTTTCTATCAGTGCTACACTTTTCTTTGTTAAACCAAAATAAAAGACAAAAACTTGAACAATTGCACAACTTATATAGGTAATTACATGCTACAGTCTAGAGAAGAAAGGAGTGCAGTAATTTAATTTATTTACAACCATATATGTAATGTTGTCATTACTAACGTCATTGAAGGTTGGGAAGTGTCACATTACACACCTCTACTTCCCGCCCTCATTTCATCTATTCTAGATGAATATTTTTTATATTTAAAAAAAATAACACATTTTTTTGAAAAATTTTATAATACCCATTTAATGGCAAACAATAAAAAACAACAATGAACTAAAATATAACAAACTACTTATTGATATTTATTATTCGCGAATTTAATATCCGACTTTATCTGACATTTATTTATATTGGTGACAGTTGTTTACCCCTTAATCACAGTAACAATATATTTACTTGATTATTCTGAGAAAACCGCGCGCTTGGTAATTTGTCGTTAAATGTAATATTTTAGGTATGTTCAGAACGAAACAGAGATTTATTAACTTTGATCGAAATATGATGGTTGTAAATAAAATAGTATACAAACCTCCTCGACGCTTCGCGTCTCGGTGATCTAACTAATCTCACGACAGGAATGAAACTCTTCCCACCTCGGTGTGTAATATACTATTGCAAAACGTAGTACAGGTTCAAGAGGTAGGTAAAATGAAAATTTCAATACATCTGTTCGGCCTAATAAAAGGTTTCGTTTAGATTTAATCATATTTTTACTGTAATAAACATTGTATTTTGACAGATAAGTCAGATTTTATTTATTCATAGTTGTTGTATCGTATTTATTTTAATTAATTCGAAATTTTGTATTAATATTAGTGATGGACTTTTCCTGAAAAGTAATTTTTTAACTAGTCCGAAGGACATGTGAACAATATTTCTCATTTGAATTTTCGTTTTTTTTTTTTTCAGGCAAGTCATTTGTAAAATACTGGATTTTTTATTCATTTTTTCATGAGTTTATTTTAATAAGACATGAAACGAAAATTCGGAAACATCCTTAAGGTAGTTCACTCGTAAAACAGTTATAAAATTTTCTAAAAAAAAAACGTTTGACCGTTTTGAATTGAAATTCTCAGATTGCCTTCTTACTATGCAGAGTTAAATCCCATTGAACTGATCTGGTCATAGTTAAAAGGTTATTATTCTCGAAACAATACATTTAAATTACCTGATGTGCGAAATTTATTTTTGGATACAGTTTCGCTAGTGTTTTGACCCGGAGCCCCACCATGGCTCTCGGCGATCCTGGGAATGTGACGTTATATCTTCACTTTAACTTTATTCTGACTATATTTCTTAAAAAATGTAACTAAAAACATACCCAGCTGTCATGGAGTGTTGCTTCAAAAAAATATATATATATATATATATATATAAAATGAGAAAAATAAAAAAATCTAACTAATTTACCTAACCTGTGCGGTCTGGAGCAATCGCGGGTTGCTGTGCAAAAAAATTATACATGAAGTGATAAATACTAAAAAAACTGACTTGTGCGGATTAGAGCTACCACGTGTTGATTCAACAAAAAAAAAATTTACATAAAATGAGAAAATTTTGAAGAACTTTTCGTAATTTACCTAACCTGGAATCAGCTTACAAAGTACCGTCAAACGGGGTTAAGTGAATCACAAAAATCTGTTTTCTCAGAATATTCCAAACTACAAATATTAAAAATCTGTAAAAATAACGTATGTTGTTTGGGGCTTGCCTTTCACTGTAAACCAATTTTTATATTTTTATTTTACTTAGAAGTGCCCAATGATTTTGGTAGTGTGATTCACTTTACCCCTGATTTTGGGGTAAAGTGAATCATGGTTTAAATCGCAAAGAAAATAACTTTGGCAAATGTTGGGGTAAAGTGAACCACTAAAAAAATATTTTAAACACTAGGTTGGAAAATAAATAAACGTAATACAAAGGACCAAAACGTTTATTTAAAAATAGCAAGAAAAACAGCTTTTAATCATAAAGCAAAGAGGAAATTTATAAACTAAAAATATAATATTCGTCACTTATAACGAAAATACCAAATCGTTCACTTTACCCTTGTGATTCACTTAATCCCGTTTGACGGTACTGTTGTAATATTAATCTCAATTTTATTTGAGATTTTCAGTTACATTCCAAAATCCTATCATAAGCATTACCCTCGGATGAAATTACATATTATGTCATTAGGTGTGCCCTTTGCTTTGAGCAGATAGACGAAACAAATGATTTAAGATAAAATTACGTTAAACACGTAATTCGGCAAAAATTTCATATATTTTTTTTAATGAAATTTCTACTGTGAATAAACTCATTGTCCAGTTACAGAAGGATAGGGATTTACCAAAAATATATCAAGTCTTAAGGCAAACCCTACATCAAATTAATTTTTGTTATAAAAAAAGGAAATCATTTGACTTAGAAAATATTTAAAGGAAATTTGTAGATATCACAATGAGTGGACAAATTCATTATTTGGCCGAAACCTGGGTTATTCAAGGGTACATAGTTACAAATATTTTACAAGATTTAGAAATTAAAAATCAGAGATATGCTTTATTTTTACAACATATAATTTATTTTCATAATCATTTATAAAAAGGGTGGTCAATAAATAGTTAATTTTTTTGGTTAATTTTAAAGCACATTTCGCTACTATGAATTGTTTGTTGGTATTTTATTATTAGTTTTAAACAATTTTACTTAATAATAACGTTTACGTCATATATTAATTATTGTTTATTTAAAATTACGAAAACGTTCCATTAAAAAAATTATGATCTAATTTCTACATCACATTTATCGTTCATGTGGGATTTTCTGCAATAAAATTATAAATTAAATCATATTCGTTGCCAAAAATAATAATTCTCTGCCAATTTTGGCAACATTTTATAAACAGATTGTGAAATTATTACCGAAAAAGCGAAATAATGATTTTAAATTTGACATCCTGTACTTTTTAATTTCCAGTTTTTATTAAAGAAAAATGAATCAGATTTTAATATTTCGAAGCCAACACTACCATTCGCTAGACGCCATTATTTCATAATGTGGCCATTTAGGGCTACTGTCGAACCAACCCTTAAAAAATGTTAACATGTGGAAATTTACCATGAATTACTGACGTCACTACAATTGAAAAATTTGAAAATAATTTTTGTAATAAATTAAAATGTACATTTTGCAGTAAAATATTAAAATTGCCCGCCACTGGAAACATTTCCTTCTACCCTGTAAGCTCCGAAAATCTCAATAATTTTTTGAGATATGACAAATGTCAGCATTCCATTACACATTCCTGAAATTTTCCCATTGTCTATTATTTTGAAATCATAGTATAGTTGAGGTATTGATAGAAAGGTATCCCCCTTAGCATACAAATTTACCGGTTTCTGCAATTAAGAAAACATTCTTCAATATATTTTCAGACACAACCACTAAAAACCTTTAATCAAACACCCTGTACTTAAAAATAATCAAGAGCAGATACAAATTATAAAATTAATAATAATTGTTTCATTTTTTTTTTCAAGGTTAATATTGAAAATGTTGAGGCCAATGGTACTAGAGCAGGGACAAAGATTTACGCTGAGAGATGGTGCCCAAACATTAGGAACTGGTGTGGTAACTAAGACCCTAGCACGACTTTCAGAAAGCGATCGCCTTAGCTTAACAGAAGGCAAAAAAGCAAGAGAAAAGAGGGCAACTGCTGAGAAATAATTTAGAATTTAAGAATTACATTGACATTAAATGTTTTGAATATAACATTTCCTAAGATGATGTGTCTCGAAAAAAATTGTGTTATTAATCATTGAATGCTTGATTGTTTGTGAAATGATTAGTGATTGGTTATTTAGACAACGTACAAAAAAGTAAAAATAATTTTGGAAAAACCATTTTAAGGAAATATTCAACAAGTATGGCATATTTCTTTTATATAAGAGGATGAATCAAATGGGATTTTTTTTAAAGTTAAAGTATAAAAACAAATTTTTTTCTGAAAGTTTTATTGGTTTTTGATCTCTCAGTTGTGAACAAAAAATTAAATAATACCCTTCTTCAATTCATCTCCTTAATATTAAATCACAGTGCAGGGGAGGGATGACTTTTATTATTATTATTATTATTATTATTTGCGGTGGCAACTTACAGCTGATTAAAGGTGTCATTTGTCTTACAAAATTACAGGTACAAACAATCGGAAGAAGCAGTTGCAAAAATGTTTCAAAATTTCAAACGGTTTTACATTTGAGGGTTTATCTTGCTCCAACGTGAGAATTTCGCTAATTCAAGGTACCCCACGGGGGGAATCCTCTTCAGTCAATTATATGTTATGGTTTATATTTGATTCGTCCTCATGGGTTTAAATTCAAAATCTAAGTTCATCGAGATATTTCTTGTTTAATAATACATAATTCATTATTAAAAATAGTTAATTATGTATGCACTCCGCGACAAAAAAGCGACAAAAAAACTAGTCCCCTTTTTTTGTTTTGTTTTTTTTTCTTCTATAGGTAATTACTTAACACATTGTGCGTTTATCTTCATGTTGTAAGTAACACAGTTATGATATGATTGTAACACCAGCAATATATAAATCCCACCAGAGTGTGTATGCTTGAAAACGAGATAAATTGAAACTTCAGTGGGATACAGTATATCTGAAAAAATTGGCATTAAATGAAAAATGTATTTATTAAGTTTACTAAAACAATATTGTTCATAAAAATCAAGAATCAGATTTGTAAAACTCATGTTAAAAGGCAAGTAAATAATGCAAATATATAAAAACACCTTGCAAAAAAACACTAATAACATACAAAATAAATGATATGGTTATATTTTGTTTAAATTCTGACACACTTTAATTCTCTCATTATTTTCATTTTATCTACCTATAAGTAGGAGAAAATTATCTACCAGTTTTGGTGAATTCGATTTAAAAATAGAGAATTTTTTTCTCGATATTTCTCTTCTCAATTTCAAGCATGGGCACCCAGAAAGTGAATATATTATTTTATTTTGAGGTTGCTATTCTTTTACCGGTGAGTTTGTTTAAAAATTTTTTTTTGCATTTTGGATCTTGTTATATTCCTAATGTTTAATATTTAATTTTTTTTATACTTTTTTGTTACGATACCCAAGTTGTACCACCAAAAACGTTGAATTGTAATTTTTGAAATTTTTGACTGCGTTTCTGTTTTGTATATTATAAATATCCCTAGAAAATAAATGTAATTAGGTTTTTTTTTTTTTTTTCATTGTGAAATAAAAAGTTAATAGAAAATTGTATTTTTCTACGGACACTATCCAAAGTAAGCTTTTACGTATTTAAACTTAATTGGAAAGTTGACAAAGTTACTTTAGATCAGTGGTTCTCAAACTTTTTTGTTGATGGAACTTTTTTGAAAAGCGAAATATTTGACGGAGCCCTAAACACATTTCTAATAAAAAAAGGTCCTCCAATCAAAATCATATCCTCCTTCCTCTTAGCGACTCAAAAAAAAGGCCTCGAGCGAGGTCCCTCCCTTTTCTTCACAGAACTCCCACAAAAAAAAGACCTCCAAGCAAAATCATATCTTCCTTCCTCTTGGTGACTTCTAAAAAAAAAGGTCTTCAAGTCAAATCCTCCCTTTTGTGGCGATAGTACTGCTTTCTTTTTTTTTATTATGACTATTATTTTCTTCGCGGAGCCCCAGGGCTCCGCGAACCACACTTTGAGTAACGCTGCTTTAGATCTTGTAGTAAATAAAAAAAAGGTAGTCATTTTTTAAGCTAATCGGTATTTTTAAACAAAATAAAATTAATCTGAATATTTTAGTTGACATCTTATATAAACCAATTTCCCTTAATATTTAAACGATTTTTAAAATATTAATAATCCGCGATTCAAGCTAAGCGATACGCCCTCAAGGAAATTTGTAAAAAGTGTGTAAGTAGGCCTTTTCCACTGTTGCCAACAATAACAGAATTTTGTTCCGTCAGCGAATTTTTAGATCTTTAGCAGTGTAAAGACATTCTTTGAATTAGCGAAATTGTGTCTACCAATACGTAATCATATTCATTTATTTAATGGATTTTTATAAATCTGATTTAATTGCTCTTTTTTTGTTTCAGTTCGTTTATCTTTTTTTTTAATCAGTTCAGTTGGCAACATTGGCGTCGTATTCGCTTGTTGTCACTGATAGTTTATTTTGTATGAATTATCAATTCTAAAATGTTCTTTTTGAGCTTTATGGATTTCTACAAATTCACATTAGGTCTGTTCTTTCAACGATCAGAAACCAGGATTTTGCGCAGTAGACTATTGGGGACGCCAAATTATCTACTGCGCAGAATCCCGGTGTTAGTGACTGGTTTGTAACCATTGTTAGAACAGACACATTATTGAGATTTTGCAACATTTTATGTCTAGAATAAGTTGCATTTCTGTTTACAAAGTGGCACAATTTTCAATTCAGAATCTAAGGATATCAATAATAAACACCTGAAATTTCCTTCAAACCACATAATAAAAGATGCCCTGCGTTTATTGAACATTCACCCTTGCAAAAATTTCTAGATGTTGATGTAGCATCCAGATAGGTCAATATTTCCAACAAATGATAAATACACATACATTATAAATATAATTATAATGAAAACGCATAAACTAAATGAGACTCGAAAACACTATTATAATGATATATATCAAAATACAAAAGCCCGCCACAAAATTAACAATGTAAATAAACACATAGCCTACTTACGGCTTGTCCTAAAGGGCCATAGTACTAACGCAAAATGTCTCGATATTTTTTATTTTAGTTCAATAATTATTACAATTCTCAGGTCAAATGGCTAAAGATGCATAATATATAAATTATGTAATTTGATGATGAAAAAATGCTCGTCTTGTTATTCCACAGAAAACATGTTATTCCAATATTACACACAACAAATAATTCATGCGAGTCAAGCGACTGACTCGACTCGCTGGCTATATTCCGTCGGAGCACATCTCACAACGGCCTGCCGCTAACATAGCAATATATTGAAAACGGTTACATCACACATGCAGAGTACGTGTTTGATACCTTTAAACGGAGCCGCCTGATCGAGTGGCTCGGATTAGCTTTTTGAGTATTTTAGTTGCATGTTGGCGTCGTGCATAACTGTATCGAGGTGCTGGACTACATGAGTTGAATGTTTTATTATCTTTTTGTATATTAATAAATAAAAATACCGTTTACTAATCGCCCGAGGCAAATAAAATAAGCAATCTGTTTATGAATACCTTTATTTCTACGGTTTCGCTTGAGGACAAAATTCAAATCAAAGAATGTAGAAGGCTTCTTCCAGATTTAGTAATCACAAAAACGCAGGAGGCTTCCACTCCTAGTTCGTCAAGCATCAACAGATGTATGTATAAGGAATATGTATTTATAAAAAGAACTGGATTTGTGTGATCAAAAAAACTAATTTTTTTTAGTGTGTTTCGTTTGGAGGCGATAAAAATTTGAGCGTGGCACCCAAAGTTATTTCCTTCGGCGGAGCGTGATATATTGGCCTGGCACCACCTGTGTGTTAAGGGACGAGCCGCCACTGCTTCAGGTGACACGCGAAAATTAATTGAATGGCGAATATAATCTCCCGTTTTCATTCTAAACAAAACATACACATAACACACGCTCAAATACTTCGATTTTCTCTTACTATGCGGAGAATGGTCGCAGTGCGCAGCTTTCTGAGTGCATTTTAAAAGGAGATTAAAAACTCCGCCATTTTGAACACTTACTACGTGTTGCCTACATCTTGGCGCAATAGTATTAATCGTTAACTATAATCTTTGGTTAATGGTTATGTGATATTTACCCAAAGTCAGCCCCCAAAAATATTATTTACGAACCTACACTTTACAAAACCATTAACAAATAATAAATATCTTGAAAACCTTGCTTTACTAGGTGATTTTATGTTAAATCTTTCAATTTGTAAGTAAGAGTAAAACTACTTTAATGTTGTTGTATTCTAAATGCTTTTTATTTTTCAGGTCTCCTAGGAATTTCGACCTTTTAACTTGAACAGTGTTTACAAACCATTAATCAAATTGTTTAGAAATTATTTTTAGCTATAAACTCTGTTATATCTGTTCTCAGCATTTTGAGAAAAATGCTTATTGCTCTTATGTAAAAAGGTATGTGATCAATCATGAAACAATTCTTTGTAGAAGGCAAACACCAAGAAAATTGAAGCATTTACTTCAATAGATAGGAGCAGTATTAAAATCAAACGAAATAATATTGTTTACTTTTTGTAACATTTATATTATAATATTTGTTTTTATTTATTAGGGCGCAATTTTTTCGAGGCTGGTCAGCATTTAGGATGAGGCATCAGGCGATTGTTTTGCTTTTTTAAAGTTGTTTTACAGTTTTCACTGATTTTTTACGAAGCACCATGCTAAATGGACTAAACGCCTTTAGCTATCATAACAATAAATATAAATTTAGTTCTGGAGATAAATAATTTCGACGAAAAGGTCATGGAAAAATTTATTTTAATTAAGGATCATAGAGCAGATTTCAATTTCTGGAAGTCATACCATGAACTTTCTTAGTTTCTTTCTTGTTTTTTAATTTAGAACAAATATTTTTGTAAGACGTTTTACCAGAAGAAATATATTTCATTTTATTTATTGACTATATTGACAAGGCGCAGAGTGTGGTATATGTTAATGAAAAAATAAATAAAACAAATTTTCCATAATCCACCAGAAAATATCAACCCATACCTGGCTACGCCGACCGGCAGACTCCAATGGCCTGGACACAGCTCAAATTGAAATGAAAAGTCTCACAGAACAAGTTCACCTGCCGGCCAGACGCGTTATTTGAGACATATCTATTACGCGGCATTTTAGTACACGACCGTTTAAGTACATTGTTAAATAAAATATCTACATTAATATTCTATACTGGAATGCCTTCGGTTTTAGAATAGTGTGATGTTTGTTTATTTTAAACAACAGTTTATTAATTAATAATTTATTTAAACACTTACTTATTTATAACAATACTATTCTAATTTATATACATTTCGAATGTCCCTAAACTGTTCACGATTTATCTTCACTGTCCATATAATAACTGACACAGCGTTCACCTCCACCAATATTTATATACAAATTTAAAATTATGGTGAATGTTGTAGAATGTTTTTCGCCAAAACTAGAAACATTATCACGTTTTACCTGGAAAAGTCTCGAAAGCACCTCCGCCATAGTCGTCACATAGGTTTGGTCTTAAGGGGTTTAATTATGTATAATAATCGGACAAGTTGAGCCTCAAAGGCCAAATAAGATAGAGAGGGACTTGGAGGGTTAGAGCATGACTGAATAATGAAATGGCTCACATATAACAATAGAATTTATAGTTCAAACGGTACTACCGGTCAAAGAGGCACTACCAAATCGCATGTCAGGTTCATGTGCCTGACATTGCATTTATTCAATATTAATATGGTCAAGGCGGTCAATTTTCCATTAACTTCCCATCAATAGGCCATTAATTGACAATATATTTACTTCTAAGACATTAAAGGGAATTAACTGGATTTGATGACAGAGTGACTTCGGCCCGACTATTGGCCGAAGTGACCTCTATATAATTATGCCGACCTTTTAATTAAAAAAGTTAAATAATTACAATTGGAGGGTAACAGTTATAGAGTCTTTTATTCCCCTAAACAAAATGTTTGTAGGGCACTGACATATAGGTACAGTAATTTTGAGTTGCTTAGAGCTTGATGGTTATTTGAAATTTCATAGATGTTAACTCATGAATAACACAAATTAGATGCTGAAGTGATTGCTAGGCAATAGGTCTTTTCCTTTGCATCGAAAGTGTAGCACTGATCTACACCACTTCTGAAAATATCGTTCCATTTATACAAATTGTATGGATGGAACGATATTTTCAGAAGTGGTGTAGCTCATTGCTACACCTTCAATGCAAAGGATAAGACCTAATGATTTGTAAATACACTTTCAACGGGCTTCGTTTTCTTCTGTCGATTGACACCAAACCTGTAGTCCTGATTTTTAGTCCACAAGTCGCGATTACAAATTTTTGTACCCATTGCTTTCCATTTTAGAACGCCTTCGGTCATTGAATCTTATTTTTTCGTGGGCTTGAGCACGATTGGTTAAAAAAATATCATGACATGTGATGAGGTTAAAATTTCCCATTTTGAAGACATGTTGCTCGTTGTACTGGAACTGAGCTTACTTTAAAAAAACATTTTTTGATTTAGTTTACAAAATAATTAATAAGATGCAGAGTTTGGGAATCCAGGGGGAACTGCTTGAATGACTATCATGATGCACATGATTTAAAATTATATACGAGAATAAATAACGAATCTGATTACATAAAACTGCAAGATGATTTAGATCGTCTCAGTAACTGGAGTGAAATCAATGGAATGGAACTTAAAGTTAAAAAGTGCCATCAAATGGTCTTCAGTCGTAACAGAAGTCCCACAGAACAAATAATCTACAATATTAATGGTTGCCCTTTGGAATCGGTATCTCAAGTTAAAGATTTTGGTGAAGTCCTCGATTCGAACTTTTCTTACGTACCCCATATATCAATGGCAGTCTCAAAATCACTTCAAATGCTAGGCTTTATTAAACGTTGCGCTAAGGATTTTTTAGAGGTATCATACATTAAAATATTGTTTTGTTCACTTGTAAGGCCTCATTTAGATTACTGTTCATGTGTCTGGTCCCCCCACTATAATGTTCATATTCAAGCCATTGAAAGAGTTCAGCATACCTTTTTAAGATTTATTTCCTTTAAGGACCACCATGGAGTCGAGGATATTAATAAAAGTTGATCAAGTTGTTGCTATTAAAAAAATCAATTATAAAAAAAATAACAAATTTTTATTTGGATATAAAAAATAAAATGTCAATTTAAGAAAAAATTGTTTTTATTGAAATTAAAACTAGTTTCTATTTCACAAACATAAGAACTGATAAAATTACAAAACGGATCTTCACAAATTATCCCTTTCCAATCATACTCTCTCCTATGTAGAACATTCGCCCTGACAAACTTATAAACAAATTTTGAAAACAGCATATAAAAATATCAACAGTTCCTCAGAATTACACACAAATAAATTTAACATAAGTTAAGTCTTGTTTTGTTAGGATATCTTTTTACAATGCAACTGCAATTTTCTCTAGGTTTTACGATTACAAATCTTCGTCATCATCTGGGAGAGCAGTTTCTGATGCTTCTTTGAGATCCTTTTCGATTTGTTGTTGCCATTGAGGATCCATCTGGACTTCTGGGGGCAGTAGAGCTGGAGCGGCGACGAAATCTAAGTTGGGATCTCCAATGAGTTTCCTTGCCAACCACAAGAAGGGTTTTTCGAAATTGTAATTTGATTTAGCAGAGATGTCATAATACTGAAATGGAAAAAAATACAGCATCAGTATAATATACTATACAGGGTATTCAGAATATGTGGACACTCTCCTAGATTCAGACATAAAAATAACATAAATTCCCATAATTTTTAAAGGACTAATGTTGAGGTATTGTGGGGACAACAATCAACTTGTAACTATGAAATGTATAAGATTTTAGTGATATTTCTCGATCATAGAAGTAACACTTTTACTGCCTAGGCATTAAAAATTTACTTTTTCTTCTTTTCTCTCTCTCTTTTGCTCCGCATGAGCATCCGGCCAAAAAAGTTACTCTAATAAATTAACTACAAAGTTACTATAAGTATATTTGTATAAGAATTGAAGGTATTTAGAACAGATATTAAAAATACGTGAGTTATATCCATTATACTTAAATGAGGTTTTCATTTTAATTCCATTTTTTTAAATACGCTGTATAAACAATCGGAGAAAAAATTTATGTTTCACTCGTCAGAAAAACATATTTACTGCCTTGGCTAGTTTTTTTTGATGCTAGCCGCGGCAGTTAATCTGTTACTTCTCTGCTTAGTTAAACAAATAACTATTTTTTGAGAACTAAATTTTATCAACAACATTTAAAGGTACCATTTTTTGGGTTAAGCTGTTCAAAAATATTATTGTCTTTACGTTTGTGAAAAAATTATTTTGTTAAAGCTAAACCATCCCAGGCAAACTAAATAGACCAAATATGTTTATATAAATATATTAAAAAATATTAAATTACAAACCAAATAGTTGCTTTAAAAATTATTAAAAAATATATTTCCCATTAGGAGTCTGAACCTTCCGGAGGGGGGGGGGAGAGTAATTTATAGGAATCTGTCATATAATCTTTATGTGTTCTATCTGGACATTGTGCACATATTATGGAAGTCCCTATATATTTTTAAGTTCTATTCAATTCATTAGTAGAGTAATTGCATCACACAAAAAATTAATTATAGGTATAAATGGAATCTTCAAAACAGAAAAATACAAATATTATAAATTAAATTATTATTAAAAGAAAATATAAATATATTGTTTTTTTTTTATTAAAACATCAATAATCTACATATTATATTTTAAAACTTTGCATTGGAAATTAAATTTTGATTTAGAAAACTCTGTATTGTGTACAATGAGTCGATGTGCTGCCATCTATCAAATTGGAGTGGTACTAAAATTCAATATGGCCGCCACGAGCGGGCTTTTTGAAATTTAACTTTGTAGTAGCGCAAAAATGTAATGAAGAAAATCAAATAAAGCAAAAAAATTGGAAAAATATTGACCGTTTTGTGATTTGAAACTAGTCAAATATTTTGCCAATTTATATCTTTATTTTATTTTAAATGCAATTTTTTTTTTATTTATAGCAAATTAACGCCGCATCATATAATTTGTGTATTTAAACATGAATATACTCAAACAAATATGCATTTACACCATTTAAATAATTAAATATTTATAAAACAAACCTATCAAAAATGTTTTCTGTAACAAAATCAGCATATATAAGTGCTAAAGACCTTTATAAAAGTTTTGCGACTTGCGAGTGGCAAATAAGTTTGAAAAAATTGAAGTTGAAGCATCATCCTTCTTTACTATCAAGGCAAATTTGAGTGTGGATAAAATTTACCATACAGTTATTGAGTTGACTATACAGGGTGTTATTGAAATACACGTACATATTAAAACTGGGTATTGCGCAGATCCCCACTGAATATAGAAAAATATTATTTTTTAAAAATACCCCTTATTAAGGGAGTTATTAATTTTTGAAAATTAATTCTAAAACAAACGTACTTCACTGATATGTTGAGGATGACCTATATAAATTAGGTTTATTTACCTATTTTAAACATCAACAGTAATTAATATGCAAGTTTTTGTCAGATGATAAGAAAACTAGTCTTGTAAGAAATAACCATGTTGCCAAGATTTTCGAATTAATTTCTATTTCCGAAGACTGGTTTTTACTACCCTCGTTATCAAAAAACTAGAATATTTGATAAATGATTGTTTTTAAACTATACATTTTTGAAACTATAGATTATTAAAATTTTAGTTGATTTACGAATATGACTAACACGAGCGCGTCATTTCCAAGTTGGTAAAAAGTGTTGTTACGATTACTTTTAAATATTTTTTTACGATGCCACTATTTACGAATATTGAACTAACGGATATAGTGCTGGTTTATGGGGCAGCTGGAGAAAATTCTCGGCAAGCACAAATCCTGTATCGCGAACGGTTTCCAAATCGGAGAATTCCGGACTGTCGTACGTTTATTTCAACTGTTCAGCATCTAAGAGACCATAGAAAATTTGAGAGTGTCAATGCAGATCGAGGGAGAACAAGAACACAAAGAACATTGGCGGCCGAAGAAGAAATATTGGAAGCTGTTGAAAACCGGCCTCAATTAAGTTGTAGAAGACTAGGTCTTGAAATTGGAGTGTCCTCATTTGTTGTGTGGCGGACACTTAAAGAACAAGGTTTACATCCTTATCACATCCAAAAAGTCCAGGCCTTATATCCAGGTGATGAAGAAAAGAGAGTGGAGTTTTGTGAATGGATGATTCAAAAATGTGTTGATATTCCTGATTTTCTAAAAATATTATTGTATACTGACGAGGCTTCATTCACTCGTGATGGCGTGTTCAATATGCACAATACGCATATTTGGAGTGATGAAAATCCTCACGCCATTAGGGAAACTGGGCATCAAAGAAAATTTTCAATAAATGTTTGGGCTGGCATAATAGATCAGTATTTAATCGGGCCTTATGTTCTCCCGAACAGATTAAATGGGCCAGGATATCTCCACTTTTTAGAAGATATTTTGCCAGTACTCCTAGAAGAGATACCGTTACAATTAAGGCAACGGATGTGGTACCTACTAGATGGCGCTCCTCCGCACTTTGATTTAAACGTACGGCAGTTTTTGAACATTAGATTTCCTCAAAAGTGGATAGGCAGAAATGGACCTACTAAGTGGCCTCCGAGATCTCCGGATTTAAATCCATGCGATTTCTTTTTGTGGGGTCACATGAAACAACTGGTTTATAATGAACCTATTAATAGTGTTGAACAATTAACCAATAAAGTTAATGCGGTAGCCGAGGAACTACGACAAAATCCAAGACTAATTTCTAATGTTCAAAGTTCTTTGGAAAGACGATTTCAAGTGTGTGTAAATAATAATGGACGGCATTTTGAACAATTACTGTAAAACACTTTATTTTGAATTAATTGGTTTTGCTACGGCAACAGTGCAATTTCTATGGGTAAGTTCAATTTCGATTTATTTTACTTCTTTAAATATGGAAACTAGTAGGTCGGAAAAGGGGACTCTTCCCCAATATTTAAATTTTAGAATTTGAAGTTAAAATTGGTGCCAATCGTTTTTGGTCATTACATACTATTCCCCATTTTAATATGTACGTATATTTCAATAACACCCTGTATAGCAAAAATAACCACTGTGTGCTCCTGTAATGAAATGTCACTACTCTGAATTTTCCCTCCTTTAACATGCAAGACTGACTCATTTGAGTAGTACATTGTTATTCCCTCAAGAGTGTCACAAAATAAAGTGTTTTTAAAAATGCAGTTTTAAGAAACATCGTCTCACATCTTCAGTTGTCTCTATTTTCATGACAAATTAATTGATATATTTTTTACAATTTTAAGAAATTGTCACATTGTTAAATGTCACAATTAAAATGGTTGGCTTTTGTATGTAAAAACTTACTTGAATTTAAATTTGTTGTAATTTTTGTTGGGCTTCTTTAAAATTGAGAAGATTTTTCATGTATAAATACTTGATTACTAATTCAGCAAACAGGTTCAAGTAGAACTTTAAATGGAGAAAATGTTAATATATCTAATATTAGAATACTTGAAGTTAGAAAAGATTCGCCAGGCAACTTTTCTATAAAATTTATTTTTTTTCCTGGGCTCATCTGACAACTATTATTATTTTAGGAGAACAGGTTGTCACTTTACAAAAATAAAAATGTTTCATCACTAATATTTTTTATATATATACAGTGTACAAAGACATTAAAGTTATCACATAATAGGGGTTGCATTTGAAATTTTGGATTTGAGATAGCTATCTCACTTAGAAGACAATAAAGAAAAATGTTGCCACTACTAAACTGCTTCCTCCTTCATTCTGCAAAAATCTTTTCTGTTAAACCACAGATTTAAAAATCTGATGTGTCCAACACATGACTTTCCTATCTAGTGATTACAGGCTTTTTCCGGTTATTTTGTACAACCTATTGCAGCACCTCCATAAATGTTTAGAGGATAAAATAAATATATACATTTTCCACATACATCTACCTCGAAACATTTTTCTATAGATATTCATTGAAAATGAAAATACTGAAAAATTTAAATTAGGCACTTTTCCTACAATTTTTCCATTACGGTCCATTTTAGAAAAATCATGTATAAACAAAAATTATAGAGATCGATATCGCAAACAACTTTTATTTCAACAAATTTCATAAAAATCAGAATTTTGCACATTTTGTCAAATTTCTCGAATACGGACCATTTCAGGAAATTTTGACATAAAGCAAAAATTATAGATAATAATATTAGAAATAACTTTTATTTGAACAATTTTTTTTTCCAAACATAAATAACAGATATATTCCATAAAATATAAAAACGGCCCCCTATAAAGAACCCCCCCAGATGTTCCGACTTTGTCCAAAATTTAATAATTTCACGTCAGGCCGAAATAAAACTTAAGTTTAAAATTTAATGTTTTTTTTTTATCCGTTTTTGAGTTTTCTTCAAATTTCAAAATTTACACATTTTCTCAAGTATCTCGAATACGGTCCATTTTAGAGAAATTATGTATAGGATAAAAATTATAGAGAATTATATTACAAACAACTTTTGTTTGAACAATTTTTATAAAAAAATATTTTTTTACATTTTGTCAAATTTCTCGAATACGGACCATTTTAGGAAAATTTTGTATAGAATAAAATTTTTAGATAATAATATAAGAAGTAACTTTTATTTGAAGAATTTTCTTCCTTAAACGTAAATAACAGATATATTCCATAAAATATAAAAATGACCACCTATAAAGTATCCCCCCAGATGTTCCGACACTGCCCAAAATCTAATCAGCACATTGGACGCTGGAACAAAGCTTAAATTTGAAATTTGGTGTTTTTCTGTGTATCGGTTCATGAGTTATGCGACACACAGACACACACACACACAGACATCATCGCGAAAATAGTCAAAACGGATTCAGTGGACCTCAAAACGTAAAAATCCGTCGAAAACTCGAGGTCGAAAAAAAATCATGATTCCTATACTTTCCTTATATCTGTATACAGATAGGAAAGTAAAAAGAATAGTGACTAATGGATTTGAAATTAGGATTTTTGTTTTAAGTTAGATCTTTATAAAATTATATTTTCTGTAAATTATTGATTATTTATTTATTATTAAAGGACAATGCCCAATATCTTTACACTTTGGATAAAATATACAAACTTAAAACTAGCAAGTGTACACAATAAATTAATAAGTAATATCTCCCTATAAATTAAGGACACAAAAAGAGATTTTTAAAAAACAAATATATCACTGAAGACATTGAATTGGCCAATTACATTGACCTGATCAAATATGAGTTTTCTGTGTAGTTGTTATTACAAGTTGGTAAGTAGAACAATTTCATTGCTCTGGTTGATTTGAAGGAAATATATAGATAGCAGCATTTTTTGTAAAATTTAAAATATCATACAGGAGCACGAGATCTTTTGTGCTCTCCTTGACTTTGAAGATTTTTAGACTCAACATTGATTCGATTTCATTATATTGGGTGAAGTTGTAGTTTAACTTGTATGAAACATATCGCAGAAATGTGTGCTGAACTTGCCCCAATTTGTTAATAGGTATGTATATTAAAGCAAGGTGACCATATACAAGAAGCATATTCAAGGTGAGATCTAACTAATGATAGATACAAAAATTTTATTGCAGATATATTTGAAGTCTTGTGTATTATGTTTAACGAAATTGAGCATTTTAAGAGATCATTAAGTTGATGTGGGGAATGAAGTTAAGTGATTTATCAAAGGTCATACCTAGTTCCTTTATAGTCTCTATTTTCTGCAGATGAATATAATTATATCAGCTCTTTTAAATGATTGTATTTTTAAAATTTTAAGATCATAAAAAAATAAAGTTCAAATATTTAACATTATGTATTACATACTTATATTATGGCATGGACAAAATGTTAAACAAATTTTGTAAAAAAGAACCCACATTAATAAAACTTTTAGACAGCCTGCCAGATTTGTAAGCTGTAGATAATATTCTTGTTTTTTTATTTTATGGTAGGTATGTTTTTTATATAATTATTTATTTAAAGATCTTTTTTACTTCTTCAAACAAATGAAAATGTAAAAAAGATTTAATGTTATCTTTAGTTAATTATTAAATTTAAAATAGCACTAAGCATGAAGATCGAGATGATTTAAAAAGTCAAGGGCTAGTTATAAAAAATATACATTAAATAAATAAAGAATTCCAAATTGAATGTATCTTTAGATTGAAGCAAGGGGTAAACCACTTCCGAAACACTGGTACATTTTCACTCAAAATCAGTGAAATTACTACAAATTTTCTCAAAAATTCCAAAATCATTGAAAATCATGGTCGAAATAATTTCCGAATCACTTTGAAATTAATTCGTCGCTCAAAAACGTAAATACAGCAAAATTTTTTTTAGGTCATATATGAAATACAGGTACGTTTTGACCTTAGTGGTTTTCCCCTCGGATTAAAGTTAATTAAAGAAATTGTATGAGTTCCAAAAACACTCAAAAATTGTCCTATATATATACAAGGTGTCACTATATTCTAGCGACAATGCTCTACCCCAAAGAGCTCTTGGTAATGATGAATTTTGATATAGGAACATGAACCTTTAAAAAGCTTAGTTACCTAGAGGGCGTTGAAAGTTAAAAAAAAAAAAAACAATTTGCCATAAATCAAAAACACCTTTAAATATTTTTCAAATTGGCAAATTCATTTTTATGGAACTAAAATTAAATGTGTTGTAGAAATTTGATTATAAACAAAAATATATACTTAGATAATTGTTAACCACCCAATATTTCTAAATTCTAATCTAGTAGGTAGGCAGGTGATGAATTTTCAATATTTATTTATTTGAGAAGATCTTGGTAGATCAAATTTGAAAAAATATTAACAGACATTTTTGATTTATGACAAATTTTGAATTAAAATACCTTGTATCTCTGCAACTAAGCACTTTAAGGGTTCATGTTCCTGTATCAAAATTCATCAATTAACAAGAGCTTTCAGTAGGTCAGTCGAATATAGTGACCCTGTGCCCTGTATTATATTAATATAACTTTTAATAAACATAATATTTCTTGAAATACCCATTTTCATTTTCAATATTAAGTTTTCAATTTGTTGATATGTGCAAGTTTAATTACAAATTACTTATTGTACTATATCTTCTTCTTGTTATCGAAAAACTAATCTATCATAACTTCAAGACATTAGTGTAGTGATAGTATAGGTAGGTATTTATGTCAAGCAAATTTATGTGTAATTGTTTTAATGCATATTGCAAAAATCAAAGGACTTTTGATATGAATCACATAATTGTTTCTAATAAATCTATTTTTAGTTGTGACATTTTCCTAGTATATTCTAACAGAATGATTCATATATACCTAAACATTTTTATTTTGATAGAACAATGCATAATATTTATTTACTTATTAGTTACATTTTAATTGATCAGACTTATTTACTTTAAACAGTGATTAAATCAGTTAAAACAGAAAAATGACAATGTATATTAAAAATTTAAAAAAAACCAACTTCAAAAACTTGCAGATGCCATCACCACATGTTAACCAAATTTATATGGGACCACCCCTGAGGTACCCCCTTACTAACAAAAAAAGAATCATATAAATTGGACAAGGTGGTAAAGCATTATCCCTAAACATACAAAAAAAATGAAGAGTTTGAGCATTTTCTCATGGACCCAATTATTAGATTTTGACCAAATTTATATGGGACCACCCCTGAAGTAGCCCCTTTCTAACAAAAAAAAGAATGATTGAAATCGGACACCGTGTTAAAGAATTATCGCTGAACATACATAAAAAAATATCAGGACGAATTGAGAACCTTCTCCTTTTTTGAAGTCAGTTAAAAATTAGAAATTAATTCTAAGGGTGTCCCAGTGAAAAGTATTCCATTTTAACAGCTTTTAACTTAAAATGTTCACATTGGCAACTGGTTTTAGGATGCAATGTTTCCCGCCTAAATTAAAACTTATAAATGCAATGAAAAATTACCTGCAAATTCTTCTTCCTATGGAAAACGATACTTTTTGCTTTAACTTTTCTATCCTTGATGTCAACTTTGTTTCCACACAAAACAATAGGAATGTTTTCGCACACTCTTACAAGGTCTCTATGCCAATTTGGTACATTTTTATATGTTACTCTGGAAGTCACGTCAAACATTATGATGGCACACTGTCCCTGAATGTAGTATCCATCTCGTAGGCCTCCGAATTTTTCTTGACCAGCGGTATCCCATACGTTAAAACGGATTTTGCCTCGGTTTGTGTGGAACACTAGGGGATGAACCTCCACGCCCAAAGTGGCTACATATTTTTTTTCAAATTCTCCAGTCATATGACGTTTAACGAAAGTAGTTTTGCCGGTACCACCATCTCCGACCAAAACACATTTAAATGTGGGCATATCTTCTGTAGCCATGGCTTATTTGAGAATTCACACCTAAAAAAAGACATCTTGATTATAGAAAGTTGTTGTATATTTAAGAAACTAACTATTTTGCGAAATAAAGTATTTCAACAACTAATTCAATTACTACATAATACCGTTTAGAAATGAGATTGCAAAGCACGTTTCAGAACTTTTTAATTTTGATGCTGAATGGCGCTTCTAGAACGTTACAAAGGATTTTGGTATTACGATACCGACTTCACTAATATTTTTCAATGTTAATATTACACAAATCCAAAAAATAAAACTATAATTGTATTCAGCATAAAAAATTATATTTACCTTTTAAACTATTACAATCGGGAAATACCGATGGCACAAAAAATCACGGATTACTTTTGCTGACTTCCAAAGTCGTTAGAGTTCACAATGGCGTTCACAAGAAGATAGGAGAAGGTGGTGGGTATGCGCCGTGGTAATTTTACTCCGTGAAAAGTTTATTGTGTTCATAAATACTACAAACTTCAAAAAAAAATTTCTAATATTTATTTGACATTTAAAATTCAAACCTGGTTATTATTTTTAAGAAAAAAAATAATAAATATGAGAATTTACCAGTGACGTCACGTGAAAATTGAACGTCATTGACGCAGGCGCTGTGAAGTGTCCGTACTGCAGAACTCTATCGATTTTTGTGTGGAAAACTGGTGGCCGTTTTGCTCCAAGTTTTGTCGGGAGTTCGTTGTAGTTGTGCTCGTATTTAAATTATAGTTTGAATGGGATTATTTTATAAAACTCAAGTTTTCAGTGGTTTGTGATACTAAGATTGGATTAAAATGACAAAGGATAGATTAGCAGCCCTTGTTGCGGTAGGTCCCGATCTTCCTAGTTATCATATATCATATCGATATATCACATAAAATTTAACTTAAAACAGATGAAAATAGTAGTTTCATTTGATGACAGCTAGTTTTGTGTAAAGGCAGTTGATAAGGCAGTATTTTGTCAAGTAATTTTGACACTTTTGGACCAAATTATTGTTAAATTGCGAACAATTAGGTTAGGTGGAGGAAAAACTGTTATTTAAATGTCATGACTAGCCCCACCTCTCTTCATCGTTCCTAATAGGTAATCTGTTGAGTTTTTTTATAATAAATTGTTATTTTTTGTTACAGGCTCAAAGTGACGATGATGATGTTGGGCCCGATGATGTTGCCGTCAATGTTGAAGGCAGAGACGGCTTCATGGACGCATTTTTTGGAGAGGTTTGAACCATTAATTTATCTCTAATCCAATATTTTGGTTAATTGAATTTTGACAGTTGTGACGTCATTATGGGCAAACACCTGACAGATTTGCCGATTACTCATCAATCACCCAACTTTTTGCAATACACCATAATTGGAAATGTAAATACACAGTACCGAATTAGCCCACATTGATAATGATTGAAATTGCGTTGGTGTGGCTTAATTTTCCTTTTCGTAATTACACTTTTGACTAATGCCTATTTTCAAAAATTATAAATGAGAATGAAGATTGCATTAACATTGCATAAATAGGCAAATACAAACATTGACATCTCGATTGACATGAAGCATTAGAAAATCATAATTTCAGTATAGCTTTTGAATTGAGACCTCAAAAATATAAATATCTTTCATTTTAATTTGGTGACACGATTTTTATGCCACCTACTTTAGGTACTCAAATAGATTAGATTATTATAGTATAAATTTGTTCTATTTATTATAGACATTTGAGATTTCATTACAGTAGGTGATAAAAATAATTAAATAGATCTCTGAGGACCATTATATCAAAAGTTAATAAATCAATTTTTGTTAATTTATTTTGATCTGTAATAACAATAAGGTGGTATGCTAAGTTAGAAAAAAAATAGTTAATTGTGTGTCTTTCGACAAACTGGTGGATTTTATTTCATTAAAAAAAAATACTGTAATTAGCAAAAATAATTTTATAATAATTACTATAAATTAGGATCAGTCTCCCAGTAATTATTGAATTTGGCTTTTAATATTTTAATCACGTCTTTGAAGTGATGTTTTATTTTATACATTTTTGCAGATGTTACACTTTTACAATCTGCACAAATTGTTTTTAGTACATTCACATCATATAAAAGTGTTACAACTCTTATAACAAAAAATCGTACTTTTTAAGCTATGTAAATTGATCTTTTAAAATATATAATTTCTAGAAAAACGTTTCAGCACAACCTTAATATTAGTAGATATAATGATACAAATAAATTTGGTAAAGCAATGGAAAACTTAAAAATTTAATACAATTAAAAACGAATAAGTGTGAAAGTTAAATACATTTGACAATTCGAAACAGATGAAATAAATAATTAATATCTTGTCATAGCTCCATTATTAATAATTTCTAAGCACTGAGTTAATTAAATTTATTGATAACTTTTTATCTTCTGCCAATCTTTATTGAATCATTTAAAACATAATAAAATTTAAGGTAAAGATAACACTAATTAGCGTATTTACTTTGCTAAGTTTGTATTTTCGGGGCAGCTCGACTGCACAATTATTTAAATCAGTTTTTATAATTATCCTTAATGCTTTTGTTTCTGAAGTATTAAAGTTTGTTTCAACTTTTACCTATCTTGTCATAAATAATTAGTTAATTTTTCATCTTGTTGTGCTATAGTTATAACTGGTCTCCCAGTCCCTCTTTTTCTGTTTACAATTTGATTGTTGTCCCATTTTGGTAAAGCTCTCAATTGTGATCTAATAGACAAACCATCTTCTATTTTGGAAATGATTCGTATTTTATCAAACTTACTCTAATAACCTGGCATCCTAACAATGTGCTTTGACAAACTTGACAAATCTTACCATTTGTCATTTTCAAAAATAAAAGTTGGTTTTACATTGGAAAAAATAAGTGTACCAGTTTTATATGACACGAAGTGTACCTAGCAATTTTTTTCTTTACTTAAAGGTTAAAATTAATTTCTGCATAAAGAGTGCAGCCTCAGTTTTTTTTAAGTCATATTTTTATTGAACTGGTTTATTTTTTTGGTATTTTCCATCTGAAAAGTCCTGTAAGAAGTCCTTTAAAGAATTGAATTAGGAACAGAATTATATCTGGATTTAAAACTCTATAGGTATGTAATTAAATACAAAAAGCAAGCCAGACATTTTATATTTTGACAAAATTCTGAAAGATGTCAACCAATTTTCATTTGTAACTTGTTTAACATTAATATTAAAAACTTGGACTCATTTATTATGAAAAAGTCTTGGAAAAAGTAAAAGTGTACTTAAGTAGGGTTGTGGCACTACTTATGGCCACCTTAAGACACAAATGCTTTTGTGGGGCCTGTTTATCAATCATATTTTAACAGAAAAAAATAAAATAAAAATAATATTTGATAGGTTGAAGTATGTAATTTTCAAGAATATATGCATCTATTGTGTTAATAGCATGTTATTCTTTTTGCATTTTTTTAATAAATTGGAAGAAATTCTTTACTTTTGGCCATCAGAGTCCCCCACTAGTTTTTTACTTATGGTCACTTATTTTTAAGTTCAATTTTTAAATATTAATTTGCTATTTTCTGGTATCATAAGGGTTGATGTAGATGAGCCAGGTAAGGGTAGATGAGCCAAGTAAAGGTGATTGTACATCTTTAGCTGTGTAACGTACAGGAGATCCTCAAGAAGAAATTAAATTCAAGGATGGTGTAGGAACAATTTCTCAGTCATGATGTAATTCTGCCTCAGACTTGTCCTGCATATTTGTTATCTTCATTAGTAGTGTTTTGGGTATGAGGAATGTAATTGATAGCAAAATTTTATACAATTCAGATGCTGTTTTAGCACCTTCCCAATTAGACCTCTTTTATTTATTAGTGCAAATGGTTCCAGCATATTAACGTCCAGTTAAAGAAAGAATACAAAATAACTCAATTACTATCTACCCCTCAACCCACATATTAACAGCTGTGGCCATAAGTAAAATATGAGGTTTTACTTTTAGCCACCAGTGTGGCCATAACTCACGAATTCTTAATTTTTAGTCATTAAGTACTAATGGCCACCATGATATTTATTTCTAATTTAAAAAAAATATATGATGTTGAAAACAAAATACATTGGGTAGTAATATCTACTTACCTCTGGAAATTACACATTCAAAAACATCCTTAATAAATCCAATTTTTGTCTTGATGTATGCAGATAAATTCTTAGCCAAATCAACATGTAATGCTTGCATATATTGCCCATGTTAACTATGTATTTTACTGATTTATAATGGCCTTAGATAATTAGTTGCAAACCTGTTCAATCATATTGCCACATACTCATTTACACCCTCTAACCACCACTTAGTTCACATTGTTGACAAATGCTTATTTTTAGATTTCAAAGCAACAAATGGCCATAAGTAGGATAGTGGCCATAAGTAGTGCCACAACCCTATATTCTTAAGGTTCAAAGAGTACCTATACTTTTTCTTATAATATACATATTATTCCTCGACTTATACATAGACATGATCAATAAATACCTAGCTGATTAAAAAAAAATATTCAAATTATAATTTGAAAGTACTTACTTTTGTAAAATAAATAGATTGATTTTCTTTTATTTAGAATTAGAGAGAACATTTCATAAAAATATAATTTAACAAAACCTCACATTTTAGACTTTAGACCATTTAAATATGTAAGTACTAAGGTAAATAGTTATTTGTCTAGAAATCAATTTATTTAATTAGGTAAGTAAGTAGGTAATGTTAATTAAATAAAAAAACTCTTCAAAAATATTGTTTTCTTGTTTAATCACACATTATAAAATGGCAGATAAAAAGTAAAATGTTATTTAATTAATTTAAGATTATTACATTTTGCTAATAAAGAAAATACTTATGTATTTTGTCAATAGATTGCTTATTAATGTCTTTTATTAAGTTTGTCTACAAACATAAAATATCTCCTCTACTTAATAGTAAATAAAAATCTGATGTGTCCAACACAGGACTTTCCCATCTAATTATTATTGTATCACCCCTGTAAATGGTTAGAGGATGAACTAAATACATACATTTTCCCACGTTTTTTACTCGAAACATTTTTTTATATATATTCATTGACAAAGAATATACCTACTGAAAAATTAAAAGTTTAAGTTGAGTTAAGTAGCTACACTTTTTCTCAAATTTTTCCATTAAGTAGTGTCCATTTTAGAGAAATCATGTATGGGACAAAAATTACAGAGAATGATATCACTATACTTAATAGGATTTAATGTTCCTCCGAGGAGAATGAGACATCCATGTATGTTTAATATTCCTTTAGTTCTTACCACTGCCAGGTCACCTCTTGTGACCATGCTCCGATTGGCAAATAATATTAACACTTGTATTGATGTAGACTGGACACTACCATTTAATATGTTCTGAAAAATTGGATTTAATTATTACATTACTCTCAATTAATTTTAATACTAAATAAGTTGTAATATTAGTTGTAATTACCTACTTTTTATTATTAATATTTATGTATTATAATACTTTTATTCATGTAATAAGGCCGTTGGCCTGTTTGGATAAGTAAATAAATAAATAAATAAATCACAAACAACTTTTATTCATACAATGCTCTTAAAACTTCAAATTTTGCAATGTTTCTAAAATTTCTCAAATACGGACCATTTTAGGAAAATTATGTAGGTATATATTAAAAACGATAGAGAATAACATTACAAGCAACTTTTATTTGATTAATTTTTTTCTCCAAGCTTAAATAACATAGTCCATAAAGTAGAAAAACGACCCCCTAAATGTTCTGACAATGTCCAAATTTTAATTAGTTCACCACAGGGTGAATTAAGGCCTAAATTTAAAATTTAGTGTTTTTCTATTTATCCGTTTTTAATTTATTCTTCAAAATTTTGGGATATTATATATAGGACAAGAATTATAGAAAATTTCAACTTTTATTTGAACAATTTTCTTAAAAATTCTAATTTTGCACTTTTTGTCAAATTTCTCCAATACGGAAAATTATGTACCTATAGGACAAAAATTACAGAGAATACTACTAAAAGCAACTTTTATTTGAAGAAATTTCTTCTACAATCGTAAATAACAGATATATTCCACATAATAGAAAAATGACCCCCCAATAAAGATGTTCCTACTCTGCCCAACATCTAATTTGCTCACCAGAGGCCGTAATAAAGCTTAAGTTTAAAATTTGGTGTTTTTCTATTTATCCATTCATGAGATACTGAGTATACAGACACACACATCATCATGAAAATAGTCAAAACAGATTCAGGGAACCACAAAACGTAAAAATCCGTCAAAAACTCGAGGTAAAAAAAAATTACTATACTTTCCTTGTCTGTATATACAGAGCCCGATACAGACAGGAAAGTAAAAATTATAAAATATTTAGAATCTTACTTAATTGTTTGATAAATAATCTTTATATTGTTTGACAAATAACTATGACTGTGTTTAACAAATAATCATGTGTTTATAAATGATGTTAGAATTTTTTATTATCTCCAGGTCTGCTATTATTAGTTTTTTTTTTCTAAATATCAAAATTACATAATGATATAAACACCTACCTTAATAATCGAATGAACTAAATTAGTTCATTAATGATTGGTGTATAATTTTTCTTCAATTTATTGAGCATTGGCCTATATACATTTTTTGAAATATAGGTGCATGAATCTTTAATGTACAGGGTGGCCAGACGAAAACGATACTGAGCCATTATCAGCCATTTTAAACAAAGGTCAATTTTTTTTTAACATCTTTTCATCTTTATCCTCTACTGTCATATATTGAAAATGTAATTTTTATGGGGAATTACTTTTGATTTTAATTCCTGTAGCTGGTTACAAAACTATTACTTAATGTAAAGTGTGACACTTCATTTAAAAAATAATTTTGTTAATAATGAACAACATTACAGAACATGAATGAAACATGAACTTAATAATTAAAAAACTATCGGAAAACCTTGCAGAGCTGTATCGTTAAGAACTTTAATCACATTTAACCAAAATTACAAATACATTACATTAATTAGCTTTCAAATAAATTATCACATTTGAGAGGTATGCAACCCTAAAAATTCAATAAACTCTTCACAAAAAAGTTAAATGAATTAAATATTAAATCATTTTATTTTGAGATATTCAATTTAGTCCGATATTTTTGTAGTTGTTTTGTTAACATAAAACCAAGGACGAAAAACTACTAGAATTCATTCATAATTAAGCCTTTTTTTATTGCATTAATTCAGATTGTGTTTACGCAGACAGAGCTGTCGCATCGGCTGCCGCATTAGTTAGAAGGAGACAGCTGTTAATTTGAGTGGGGATGGTTTGTGCGAGTATGTTTATCTGAGTAGTGAGCATGCGTTTTATGAATGAATCCGTGTTTACGTCTACTACGCTTGCGTCACACTGCTGTCACACATCAAAATTGCGTACTTTCCTGATACACTACACAACTATAATAGTTGCAACGAGAAAAATATATTAAACTGATAATAACTGGGTTTAAGAATGCAAATATACTTCCCTAATGAAATTTTGAGTCTTTTGTGCGCTTTAGAGTCTAATATTTAGTTAGTACCAAATTATAACCATAAACAATCCTTGTAATAATACTCTCTCATATTAATTTGACAAGTACGTGGATGACACTGTAAATGTTTGCAATGCAATACAGAAAAGTTGAATTGTAATAAATAAATTAGAATTGTGTGTTAGTGCCTAAGTATTATATAAATTAATTAGTACGTCATAAATAAATTTTAAATAGTGTTTTAAATAAATATACTCTAAATAAATTAAAATATTGTGATGTTTATTTTAAAACAACAGTTTATTTATTAATAATTTATTTAAACGATTATTTATTTTATAACACTACTATTCTAATTTATATATATTTCGAATGTCTTTGAATCGTTCACTATTTATATTCACCACTGTCTATCTACTAATGATTGCCACGTTGGTCCTCCACCAATATTCATATACAAATTTAAAACTTTGGCGAAGGTTCTAGAATTTTCACCAATTCTCACCAATACTAGAAACATTATCACGTTGTTATCATTATGTATGGTAATCGGACAAGTTGAGCCTCAAAGGCCAAATAAGACAGAGAGGGACTTCGAGGATTAGAGCATGACTGAATAATGAAATGGCTCACATTACAATATCGTTATATTATCTACGATTTTTTATGGTGTTATCACACCATGAATGGTTAACCGTTTGACCCAGTCTCATCTAAATAGATAACGTTGGCTATATTGTTTCATGGCTCTTAAATACCTGTGCCGCAAATGAATTTCGTTTCGCTCTACTATTATATACTTTTACGACCACGCTTCACATATTCAAAACCTATATCTTTAGTCAATCTACAAAAGGAGTGATAAAAAACATAAAGCAAGATTTACGTCGTTCCAGATTATAAAACAGGATACAAATCAAATGTAAAACCAAAGAAAACACAACAAGAAATCAATTCAATGTCTTTTTAAAGCTTCTAATGTAAGTAAAATAATGTATTCATGTCTATAAATATAATATTTATTGTAAACTAGTCACAATATGTATCTTACGAAGTGTAGTTTATTTTATTACAAGTTTTTATAATATAAAATTTTACAGTCATAGATGCTGACTTACAAACAACAATAATTATACATTAAATTTAACTTACTAGAAAAGAAAATTTATTTTTTATAGAGTTTTAATGTTAGATAAAGAGTTGCTACTGTTATTTTTTTTGGACCCCAATTGTGTCATTGTAAATAAAGCACACTGTTCCATACTTTTTAGAAGATATCAAATATTATGAGACTATTTTTGCTGATGGTACTGTTAGCAAAATAAAAAGGGGAAAGCTGAAATTAAAGGATGAGGTAATACCATGTACATTCCGAAATCTCCCTTTATACTATTATTATAACAATAAAAAATATCTGTGTTTTATTTTACTCTTAAAACTATGTATTAGTTCAATTCAAAAAAAAATTTGCCACAAAATTGTACTTATCAAATTTCAGCATTTAAGAAACCTTTTCGAATTTGGTCATACATACCTAATTTCTATTTTATATAGATACAATTAAATAATTTATCAAAACATGCAAGACTTATTTAGAAATAAATACAACAGTATGTTCTGTGCTTTATTTAGCTATAAACAAGTTTATTTTTATTATTTTGACAAAATTATGTATAATTCCCATAAGAAGCCATATATTTTGAACACCGTATGCAGTACCAGCGCCCATGCGGTTAATTATAGAAGCTCAATTAGCATGCGTTTTTTGGGACCGTATTCTGAGTATGCAGATTCGCCTCCTTATCTCTAGTCTTCATAGACACCACTTTTATCAGGACATTCCACTCTTCAATTAGTAAAAAAAAGTCAAATAATAAAATCAATCATTTAAATTTTGAATGTCTAATTTACAATTTATCATCTAAATTTAGTTTCATTCTGGTAGTTACTGAATTACTTAACATTTTTACCAGTAGACAGAGTAATATCTATTTATGATACAAGTGTTAAAAGTGGCATCACTTTTATAACACTTAAGTATGTACGAATCGTACAATATTTTTCTACAAACACCATTGATAAAGTGTTAATTTTTTTTTAAGTAATAGTTATGTGGGTTAAGCATTTTCTGAAGAATGAAGAAAGTCAGAGACATTTTGAAATTTTGTAAATATATACCTATGCCTAGGAAGACTATGGAATTTTGAGTTGAAACAATAACATGCTAAATTTTTAGGATATTTAAATCTTGATATTATACCCTATTCAAAAATTTTACGTTTCTCGTTTTTTACCAATATCAATATACTCTGATAATATCTTCTAAGAAAGCCAGCAGAGCACCTCGGGAATTTTGAGTTGAAACTTCTTTTTTGTACACCATTGAGACATTTCTTGCCCTTGTAGATATTTTTCAAAAAACTGCCATAATTAATTTTTTGAGGTTCTTTTTGTAGAAAAAATATTGTTGTGCACATAATCTAATATCTTGACTTTATTTTCTTTATTAAAGGGAAATAATTTGTAAAAAATAAATAAATAATAAACCGATGGGTTGACTTATTTTTCCGTGTTTTTTGTATATAAGATTAATCAAAATTGTCTAGCAAAGTAGTAGCCATAAAGAGAACGCATTTTGGACCAGGACTCAAATTTCGTATAACTTTTCTCTCCATTTTGAATGTCATCTTTGGGCCAAACATAGGAGTCAAGGTCACTTTTAAGAAATTTTATTTTGATTGTATTGGTCTCTTCGAAAATGTCTATGACTCTTCCGATATACCAAGTATCATAATATTTTTCACTTTCAATATTATTAGCGTTTTCTTCAGTGTCTCCATTTGAAGACTTTTCGGTTTCTATTTCTCTTTTACTCATAACTACAATCTGATGTTTCTGGAGATGCTGCATTTTCGCTAATAGATTTTTTGATATTATTTTTGTGAGAACTATTATTTTCTCCACCTGCCATCGATTTACATCTTAACTTGTCTATCTGAAGAGAAATGTCTTTGGTTTACGTGGACTTTAGTATCATGAAAGTTTAGAAAAATAAAAATTAGTGTATTTATTGAAAAAAAAAATGGATTAATTCAATTTGAATTATTAGTTAAAACAACATAAACTTACAGAAAGATGGGGATGAAAAAACACATTTACAATGCGATACCAAATATTCATTAGGTTTTTGTTAATTGATTAAACAAAAAATTATGGCCGAGCAATGATTTAAAATATGTTTTTTTGGTCTTTTTAAAGTCAGTCGTTTTGTCGTCAAATGACTTTGAGAACAAAAGACCAAAAAACACATTTAGCTCGAGATTACAAATACAATTTTTATACCACTTGTTTAATACACTACTAGCTATAAACTGAATAAAAAAATCATTAAATTGCAAGACATCTAAATATAGTTTTTAGGTCTTTAAAGTCGAGCGTTTCTGCGGATAAATATTACTCAATAAAACCAACAAAAATCAACATTTAACACGAGATTCCAAATACAATTTTTATACCAAATATTCAATAAACAAGTATCAATTAAAAAAATAATAAATCATCAAATAGCAAGACCTCTAAATACATTTTTTAGGTCTTTAAAAATGCGCGGTTTCGCAGAAAAACATTCTATCAAAACATCAAAAACCAATATTAACATCAAAAACCAATATTTAGCACGAAATTCCAGATATAATTTTTAGTACGAATGATTTAATACATTATTATAATTCAAATAAATAATAAATTATTAAATAGCAAGACCTCCATACGTTTTTTAGATCTTTAAAAATGCGCGATTCCGCTGTTAAACCCTCATACATTCACTTATTGTATATCTAAGACCATACATTTTTATATGTACATACAATACAACATAGTTCAGTATCATTATAATTAAATAAAAAATTAATTAATTCATTTATTGAAACCACAATCATCATTTGTTGATGTTAAAATAATTGTTTTAAGAATTTGTTCAGACAATATAGTTTCAATAAAATTACCACAAATGTCATCTGATTTCATATGTCGAAGGTTGAACAAAAACTATTTCCTAAATTTTTATTGATAAAACACTAAAGTTCGTCAATAGCTACTAAACAAAAATTAAAAAAAGTAAATCGGTTCACAAACGGAAGAGAAAATGGTACTTAACTATTTTGTCTTTTACTATTTATACAGGGTGTCCCAATAGTGTGTGGAAGTTCGATATATCCTATATTATAGAAAATATCAAACAATGTTATTTACAAAAGTTGTAGATAATATTCATCTGCACATTTCAAAATTATTTTCGATTATACAGAGTGATCCATAACTTCAGAATTGATCAAACCTATGTTTTTAAATGGACCACCCTGTATTTAATTGTAAATTTGAATTCCCCTGACTTTGCCCTTCAAGAAAATACCAACATGTATGAGGTTATACTGGGTATTTTGGAAGTTTAAACCAATTTTTTATGAAAATCGTACTCTGTATATTTCAAAAGAAACAATCGAACATAAAATTTTTTTTGATGAATCATTTTTAATGATAGTCTACTTTTATAAGAATATGCTAATTTTTTCCTAGCGCAACAGACGTGTACAGGGTGAGTCAAAACTCAGATACATGATTTTCTCAATTTTTTTAAACGTAACACCCTATATTTCATATCACTACTAAAAAGTACTCTTATTATACGTTCGTTTGAGTTAAATATTGCCTATCCCTAAACACAAAAATTTAGCGAGATTCTTAGATGAAATGTTAAAAAGGGTTAATTATAACTAAATTCACAATGTAATTTGATTTAAACTCCTGTTAAATATTACATACTAGTTACTAGTTGATCAGTTTATATTTTAAAGGTACCTGGTACAATTTTTTATCAACTGAATTTATTTTTTGGGACCTTTACAACTGTTTGTATAAAATGCAATGAAAACGCTAACAGAACTTCAAATTTTTTTTATGCATTAGGTCAAGTGGGCTTTGAAATTCATGTCAGAAGAATAATTTGACAATTCCGAATTGTTTAAATAAAAAAAAATACGTTTAGTGTCCACAAGTTTAGTGATGAAAATCGCTTGTTGGCAACTAGAATTTATAAGCAAAAATATCCTGATCGCCGACAACCTCGTAAAGACATTTTTGAAAATCTGTTGGAAAGATTCAAACGTACAGGTAATGTAGCATATCAAAAAAATGATAGAGAAAAACGAACTTTAAATGAACAAAATGAACTCAGTATTCTACTTAGTGTTACCGAAAATCCAAACACCAGTACACGCTTCATGGAAAATGAAACGGGAATAAGTAAATCATCTGTCAATAGGATACTATTAAAAAATAAAGTACATCCATACCATATCCAACGTCATCAGGAGCTTCTTGAAAACGATTTTCAAAAAAGAATAGCTTTTTGTGTACTTTTTGGGGATGAATCAACATTTCACAAAAACGGTTTAGTCAATAGACACAATTTTCATTACCATTCCACCACTAATCCTTATGAGTTAATGACACATAGCCAAACACGATGGTCTATTAGCGTTTGGGGTGGTATATTAGGGGACTATGTCATAGGACCACATTTCTTTCATGGTCGTGTAACTGCCGAGGTCTACTTAGACTTTCTGCAGAATCATCTACCACTACTATTGGAAAATGATCCACTAAATATAAGACGCCGATTGTGGATATGACATGATGGAGCTCCTGTACATCATGCTCAACCAGTTTGCAACTTTCTGAACCATAATTTTGAAAACAGGTGGATTGGAAGAGATGGTCCAGTTATGTGACCTCCCAGGTCCCCTGACCTCACTAAAGTAGATTTTTTTTGTGGGGTTTCGTAAAAAACGAGGTTTATAAAACTAGTTCATTAACTAGCGAGGAAATGAAGGAAGAATAAGATAAGTGTTCGCGAGCATAGATGTACAATGTTTGAAAAACGTTCAAAGATCATTTGAAGCTAGATTACAACATTGTATTGCAGTTGGAGGAAGTCACTTTGAGCAGCTTTTATAATAGCTTTGTTTTTCATTTTTTAATATACTAATGTTGCATTCTAAAAAAATTAAAATAAACTTATTGTTGGCTCATATTTTTTTCATTCAAATATAAAATATCTTCTAAACTTTTGTGTTTAGGGATAAGGACAAACGAACGAATAATTAAAGTACTTTTAGTAGAGATATGAAATACAGGGTGAACCTAACCTTAAAAGTAAAGAAAGTAAATTCAGTTGATAATAAATTGTAGCTAGGTACCTTAAAAATATAAACTGATTAAACAGTATATTTTAACAGGAGTTTAAATCAAATTACATTGTGAATTTAGTTATAATTAACCCTTTTTAACATTTCATCTAAGAATCTCGCTAAACTGTTGTGTTTAGGGATAGGCAATATTTAACTAAAACGAACGTATAATTAGAGTACTTTTTAGCAGTGATATGAAATACAGGGTGTTATATTTAAAAAAATTGAGAAAATCATATATCTGAGTTTTGACTCACCCTGTACACGTCTGTTGCGCTAGGAAAAAATTAGTATACTCTTATAAAAGTAGACTATCATTAAAAATGATTCATCAAAAAATTTTGATGTTCGATTGTTTCTTTTGAAATATACAGAGGGTCGAACCTAGTACGATTTTCATATAAAATTGGTTTAAACTTTCAAAATATCCAGTATAACTTCATACATGTTGGTATTTTCTTGAAGGGCAAAGTCAGGGGAATTCAAATTTACAATTAAATACAGGGTGGTCCATTTAAAAAAACATAGATTTGATCAATTTTGAAGTTATGGATCACTCTGTATAATCGAAAATAATTTTGAAATGTGCAGATTAATATTATCTACAACTTTTGTAAATAACATTGTTTGATATTTTCTATAATATAGGATATATCGAACTTCCACACACTATTGGGTATATAGATTTTTAGTCAGGTGAAGCGAAAATGTGAAAATAGAAACATCAAACATGGATTGGTTTTCATAAATTTGACATACTAATAAAAATTGTAGCAATAAACGCCTTTAAAAACCGATTTTTCGAAAATAATTAGAAATTATCCTTTTTAGGTGGAAGAGATACGTGACATGATAGATAAGATTCAGGCCAATGTTGAAGAAGTCAAGAAAAAACATAGTGCCATTCTGTCAGCACCTCAGAGTGATGAAAGTAAGTACTATTTATTTTTATTTACTGGTGATTTATTAATGTTACAAGGATAATTTTTAGTGTTGAGTATAAAATAAGGCAGAACCAATTAAGTAGAGCTTTGTAAATAAATCCAACAAAAACTAGAAAAATTATTATCCTTAAAAATTCATCAGCCATCTTTACAGTTTTAAAAAATATGTGTATTATACAATTTTTGATTGTTTATTAACTCATTGACTAGGTATGTTATTTTTACATAAATAATTAAGAAGCAATAGTCAATACTCATATTTCACCGACCTAGAACTCACCCAACAATAGATCTTTATCAAGAAGCTGGAGTATTAGATATTTATCAGTTATTTGCAAAAATGATTATTACAAAACAACGTAAAGACAAACACACTTTACTAGCAGTAAGTCATGACCACGCAACTCGATATAAATTAAATAATGTTGTAATACCTAAAGCCAAAAAAACTAGGGCAAAAAAGTTATGCTTACCTGGGTCCTAAATTATATAATGAAATACCGTTAAAATTAAAGAGCATTTATTGTTTATAATATTGTAATATTGTGTTTTATTAAGACTGCTCCTAAATAACCAATAACAACCCATGGATTCTTTTTGTGGGCGTTTCTGTTTATTTATCTCGAACGAACTTATATTGATATACATTATACATTGTTTTTATATTATTTTTGGTAAATAAATTATTATTATTATTATTATTATTATTATTATTATTATTATTTACAGTATTTTTTTTAGTCTGAAAACGTAGAATAAAATATGTAAGGCAATTAAATAATTATTTTTTTTAAAACATGAAATTATCTTTATAATATTGTGATGGAACAAAGTATATGATATTACTTAAATCGCTTAGTTCCATAGTTAAGTAGATGCTGGGAGACCGTTCATTGTCTAACTAAGTTAGATAAAATATATGAGAAACAATAGCTTTAGAGTGGTCTACCTCCATTATTGAATCACTCCTTATTCCTTCCGAGTTGAACATTGTTTTTTCTAATTGAGTTAAGAAGAGTTAAGAAAATGCAATTTTGTTCCATACCTCTTAGATATGCATATATTTCCTGCACACTTGAGTAAATATGAAAAAGTGATTACAAAATTCAGCGATTCGGATTTTTTGATCCCGTTATCTTTAAAACATGCCGAACTTGATTGTGTGATAAAATTATAAATATTTTTGCAAGAATATAGTTTTTTTTTTAATTCGATCATCAGTTTTCGAACTATTTAGGATTTTATAATGTAACATTAAATCTAATAATCCCTACTTATTATTACACTGAACTCTTTCCGGTAAACTACCAGATATTTTTCAATTAAAAAAAGTATTCGACAACTATTTTCAGACTTAAATTAGGGACCTTTCCAGCACAAATAGGGAGAATTGATTCATCGGATTGCCAACATGATAACTTACCGGCCGATATAAACCATATATTTTTTTACTGTTCCCATAAATATGCAAAATACTAACCAGGGACCTATTTCATAAAACTATTTTGCAACTTTTTACTTTGCAAGTTTACAAGTATTTCTCTTTTATAAAACATAAATTTAATAAAATATGCAAAGTGAAAAGTAGCAAAGTAGATTTATGAAATAGGGCCCAGGTATCTATTATCATAATTAAATAATTGAACATACATTTTCCAACAAATATTACTTAACTCCTTTGCACATTTAATAAAATCGTATACGACCTATTAGTACAATAATTGTTAAGTAAATGTCACATAAGGATTTAAATCAAAAGAAAGAAATTATTAAAACCCTAAACAACGACAACTTTAAATTTTTCTGTGGCGAAAAGACAAATCTAATGCCAATTCCACAAAAAAAGATTTTATTAGCAATATTTTCGACTTATCCCCGTAAATTTAATATTGTTATATTCAATAAATAATTCTGCCACTTTTATGATATATACAATTTGCCACGATAATATAACGTGACATTTTCAGTGAAATCTTCGAGTATATGCTCGAAGAGTGAAATGGAATAACTAAAACGTCAAAAAATAATTTAAAAAACGCCAGTCAACTGTGAGTCAACTCAGAAGGAGATGATCGTAGAATAGAATGTCACTTATTTCGTAGCTATTCGGGTGACGGCGCAGAAACCCTTATTTTCAGTTGGTTAGTTACTGGAGGTAACATGCGCTATTTGCAATGTTACATCTCTATTCACTAATTTGTGTGTGTGGTCGTGTAAGAGTGCTCTCTTAGAATTTAGCCTTACTGCGCATGTCACTTCTTAAATTATAAAATTTACATAGACGCGTAATTTCCATAGTGTTAGAGTCAGCGAATTAGGATATCGCCGCCAGTGGGGTTGACGGTACCACATCTCGCCCGTTGCAGTATCCAGGAGAGAACGAAAACACTTAAATTTCGACCAGCCGAACGCAATGAAGTGATAGGCATTATGCCCGTTAAAGACATTCTTTATTTTGTTCCTTAATTAATTACAATTTAAACATTGTTTACGAGATATTTAATAAAACATAAAACCATGTTAACACGTGTTTTGTGAAGTGGCTATACATAGTGTTATAGTATACAGGGTGATATTTTTTTTAAAACAATAATTTTGAAGTTAATTCTTTTAACTTCTAACAATAGAAACAAAACCTCAAAAAAATGCTTACCATTGAAAATTATTTGTACCTAATATTTGTAGTCTATTTAAACTAAATAGTAGGTCAAAGTTATTTAGGAGAGTCACAGAGCCATCGTGAATATGGTGTTTAGGCATCATGTGAGCGGTAAGAGAGTACTTATATTGTTAAAGTAGTCGTACACGAGCACTATCACGTGTTAGTGAATAGGATGTACTGATCTCTTTAATCTTAGATTTTAACAATAGTTCGTTGTTAGATCGTATATTGTTCCATGTCGTCTAATAACATGTTATGTTATGTTGGGAATGGGGTGTTACTACACTGCGACCTAAAAGATCTATTGTGCCCCCTTCTGTCGCCAATGCATTAAGGAAATGTCTCAATGTCTATAACAACCCTTCCAATCCTATTTTCTCAAGGAAGTGTAGGATTTGAAGTGGCTTCAAGTTAGGTAAATCTCCCTCTTCTATTTGATATCCTCCTAGATATAGTGCTCTTGGATTCTGGAGTGCTACACATTCAGTTAGGATGTGAATGGATGTTTCGTCCTCCTCCTCACAGAATCTGCACTTACTATCCTCTACTACTCTCAGTTTACTTAGGTGTCCTTTTAGTCGGCAATGCCCGGTAAGGATCCCTGTTACAATACGTAGCCTGTTCTTGCTCAGGCAGATGCAGGCTTCCGATCTTTTCTGGTTATATTCACCCAGAAGTATCTTGGCTTGTCTCAGCCCCAAGAGATTGTTCCAATTATCGGTTCTTCTACTGCCCAATTCTTTTTTAATCTCTCCTAATATTATGTTACTGCTGATACCGTAGAACGGCTCAGGTCCTACAAAGGGTGTTTGAGTCCCTTTCCTTACAAGACTATCTGCAATCTCGTTACCATGTACTCCGTTATGTCCCTGCTTAACTATCAGACATGATGATAATCTCTTGTCTATGATAGTTGCTCTTGTTAAACTGGATACACTTCTCGATGGCGTGATTTTCCGCCTGGAAGATGCTTGGGTATTTTCTCAAGCTTTCGGAGTGCTTGGTTCTCGGCCCATATACTCCTATTCCAGTTCCTTCTATGGTTTTGGAACCGTCCGTATACTACTGAATAGCACGTCTTTCGGTTGCAAGCGCAATGGATTCTTGGCTCCATTCTTTCTTGCAGCCCAGCTCTGTGGTTTTGAAGTTTTTCACAAAACTGTACTTCTTTAGCATTTCATCCTGGGGCATGTCACAGGTATCTTTAGTCCTGAAGCAAGTAGACTCTCGTCTGATTACTCCGTTCCTGATCATTCTATATCTTTTCCTTTTTGCCACGTTCTCTATCATCAAATGTAGAGGGGTGAGGTTTAAGATCAGCTCCATTGCGGCCGTAGGACAGGTTCTCATTGCACCAGTAATGCAAACACATGCTAGTCTTTGTACTTTTGAGATATTAGCTCCCGTAGTAGCTAAACTAGTTCTGTTACTCCAGGCTATAGCCCCGTAAGTGATGTTTGGTCTCACTATTGCAATATACATCCATCGCAGTATGTTTGGGGGACATCCCCAGCGTTTACCTGCAATGTTTCTGCATACCATTAGGGCTTTTGTGGCCTTTTTTACTACTTCCTTCTCATGTGTGTTCCAGAGAAGTTTGTTGTCCAGGGTTAGGCCTAGATATTTGACTTCATTTTTCCATTCTATATCTATCCGTCTAATTTAACGGTTTTGAGATTAAGTTTTCTTTTCCTTGAAAAGGCTACTAGTGTTGTTTTTGTAGGGTTTATACTAAGTCCCACTTCACGGCACCATCTTTTGGTATGTTCTAGTCCTCGTTGGACTATATCACACAGGATATTACTAAACTTGCCACTAGCAAATATGACTATGTCGTCGGCATAACCTTGACAGGGTATGCCGAGATCAGTCAATCTGCATAGAAGTTCGTCTACGGTTAGGCTCCACATTAGTGGGGATAGAACTCCCCCGTGTGGACATCCTCTGGTTGTGAAGATGAAGATGGTGTCCTGCCCTATCTGTGTCTCCGCAGTTCTCGTAGATAACAGCTGAGCCATCCATCTGGATGTGATATTATCTACTCATCTGTATGCAAGTGCCCTTTTTACAGATTCGTGTGGCGTGTTGTCAAAAGCTCCTTCTTTGTCTGGGAAGGCACATACGACAGTTTCTTTGTTTGTCAGTGGATCCTGGATTACATCAGTCAACTGTACCAGGGCAGTTTCTGTAGATCTTCCTGCTCGGTACGCGTGTTGGCTGTGGTGGAGTGGCACTCTCTCCAGGACTTCCGTTCTGATATAATTATCAACAGCCTTCTCCATTGTTTTTAATACAAAGTATGTGAGGCTGATTGGTCGGAAGGAT